TTGCTTTTAAAGTGGATTGCTTTAGAAGCATCAGAAGCTCTCATTGCTTTTAAAGTGGATTGCTGAAACTAATCGAGATCAGTTAAAGGGGCTGGCTGCTATGGACACCAATGGTCTAACCTCCCACTTAATTCACTGCAAAATCTACCTTCTCCAAAACTCCTTTCCTGATTACTCCTCTCCCCAAGTTACACTTTCCCTCTATGATCTGTGATAGGTTTTTTATTTCCTTGGACATCTGTCTTACTCTGCTTTGTGTTTTGATGAGATATTTAAGCACTTGATTTTAACCTGTCTACTAGGTTGGGAAACTGCTTGATTCACCTTTGTGTTTAGCCATGATGCCTAACATGGTACTTAATATATAGTAGTTTCTCCATAACTATTTCTTGAATTTAGTTTAATAGAAACAAATCATGTTGGCATAGAGTGGGTTTGTCACCACAATCACTAATTTCCCTAAACAGTGGACACTTTCTAGTTGACTTCCACTTAACTGATACTCTTCCTGCTATCTTAAAAGAACCATCAGTGTGAAGCCTGACAGGTAATGGGCTATTGTGCACTTGAGTTTCATGCTCATCCAGAGTCAGTTGTATTTTATGTAATAACCTGTTGACATCATGTGTAGTTGATATTCTAACTAATTTATTTAATATAGTTATATAGACCAATGTACTATAAGTGTCAAAAGAATGAGAGTTGTTTCTATAAAGACTATGTTGATGATCCTAGGAATGCAAGGAAGTGCAGCATCCTAAAATCTATTGATGTAGTATACCACTTTAACAGATTAAAAGAGGAAAAACTTCAACATTTAACACTCATTCATGGTTTTAAAAAATCTTTAGAACCGGAATTAAAAGTCTAGCTACTGTCCTTATATAGAGATAATATGATTGATTACATACAAAGCCCCAAAATAATCTGTGGAATAGAATCTTTTTTTTTTTTTTTTTTTTTTTGAGATGGAGTCTTGCTCTGTCACCCAGGCTGGAGTGCAGTGGCACGATCTCAGCTCACTGTAACCTCCGCCTCCTGGGTTCAAACAATTCTCCTGCCTCAGCCTCCCAAGTAGCTGGGATTACAGGCGTGTGCCACCATGCCTGGCTAATTTTTGTATTTTTAGTAGAGACAGGGTTTCACCATGTTGGTCAGGCTGGTCTCGAACTCCTGACCTCAGGTGATCCGCCCACCTCGGCCTCCCAGAGTGCTGGGATTACAGGCTTGAGTCATCACACCCGAACTAGAATTGAATCTATTAAAGCTAGTAAGGGAGTTTAGTAAGTTTGCCATATTCAAAACCAATAAATAATCAATAGCCTTTCTTTTTTCTTTTCTCTTTCTTTATTTGTTTTAGAGACAGAGGTCTCACTATGTTGCCCAGACTGGAGTGCAGTGGCTATTCACAGGTGCGATCACTGTGTACTACAGCCTGAAACTCCTGAGCTGAAGTGATCCTCCTGCGTCAGCCTCCAGAGGAGCTGGGACTACAGCTATATGCCACTATGCCTGACTCAATAGACTTTCAATATCAATAAATAATTAAAACCTGTATTAGAAATGAAGAGCTCATCCACAATACTGATACAAGGAAAAAGATTATTAGAAATCAACCTGACAAACGCTATGTAAGATCATTGTGAAGAAAATTCCAAAATTAAAGAACAAATACAAATACACACACAGATCTGAATAAATGAAGATATCCACCAGGTTCATGAGTTCAATATCATAAAGATGTAAATTCTTCCCTAATTTGTCCATAAATTCAATTTAATTCTAAATTAAATCCAGCTATAACTTTTTGTGGAACTAAACAGTCTGATCTTAGGATTCATTTGGAAGTAGAAAAGGACAAGATAATTTTGAAGATGCAGAACAAAATAGAAAGACTGTGCCACCATATATCAACTTATTTTATTTTATTTATTTATATTTTGAGACTGAGTCTTGCTTTGTCGCCCAGGCCAGAGTACAGTGGTGCAGCCTCGGCCCACTGCAACCTTCACTTCCTGGGTTCAAGTGATTCTCGTGCCTTAGCCTCCTGAGTAGCTGAGATTACAGGCAAGCGCCACCATGCCTGGCTAATTTTTGTGTTTTCAGTAGAGACAGGGTTTTGCCATGTTGACCAGGCTGGTCTCGAATTCCTGACCTCAGGTGATCCACCCTCCTCGGCCTCCCAAAGTGCTGGGATTACAGGCATGAGCCACCGCGCCCAGCCTTATTTTAAAGTTGTAAGATGTAAGATGGTATGACATTAGCTTAGGGGTAGACAAATTGTTGAATGGAATAGAAAAGAGACCCTAGAAAGAAGCCCATGAATATACACAGACTTGACATGCTCAAAGGTGGTATTACAAATGTAGAGGGAGGAATGTAGAGTCAATAAATGGAAAATTGGTTGTTCTAAAGGAGCAAAATAATACACCTGCCCCCTGGGGAGCCCCAGGAGCTGCTGACATTCCTTCATCTCCCAACACTTCTCAATCTCCCCATAGAGTGAGAGCCTGGCTTTGGCATGGCCTCCGTTGCTCTCAGTACATCAGAAGACACAATGACTCTGGTGCCCAGGTCCCACCCTACCAGACTCATAGAGACTTTTCCCATCCCCGCCAATCTCAGATAAAGCATCAAACACCATATAACAGCACTGAAGACTGGTTTGCCTACTGGTTACACAGAGAAGCTGTGTTACACAGCCCAGAAGTTAACTAACTCCCCGTAGAGCAAACTTCAACCAAGAACAGAGAGAAGTGGAGCCAGAAAATAAATTATTTGCCCTTTCTCTGTCTCTGATGCACAATTCTGTTGTATAGCACTTACACGAAACCCATCTGGAAGATGTCCTGGGTAAACAAGCTACAGGCTGAATTTCCTTAGGAAGCTGTGCCCAGCTTCCAACATGGTATCCTGCATTTGCTTTCTTTTCTTCCATGCCTTATTTCCCTTTTCCCCTCACTCTTGCTGGCCTGGGATTGCCCCTCTCAATACCTTAGCATGGAGGTGATACTTCAGGCTCTGTTTTTCAGAGAACCTGGGTAAGATAGTTGCTTGTATAGAAAAAAAAAGGTCTCTATGCCACACCATATCCAAAACCATATCTAAGAGGAATAAAAACCTAAATATGTAAAATAAAGCTTTAAAACATTTTGAAGAGAATGTAGAAAAATATTTCTCTCAGAATAGGAAATGTTTTTTAAAACAAAAAAAGCAGAAACCATGAAAGAAAAGTTTGATACGTGTGACTACCTATAATTTAAAACACGTATTTAACAAAAGATGATATAAAAAAGATGAATTACATGCTGCACTCTGAGAGAAGATATTTGTAATTCATTTAATTGACAAGAAAATATATGCTGAATTTATTTATTTATTTACTTATTTATGAGACCGAGTCTCGCTCTGTCGCCCAGGCTGGGGTGCAATGGTGTGATCTTGGCTCACTGCAACCTCCACCTCCCTGGTTCAAGCGATTCTCCTGTCTCAGCCTCCCGAGTAGCTGGGATTACAGGCACGTGCCACCACACCGGCTAATTTTTTGTAATTTTAGTAGAGGCGGGGTTTCACTATGTTGGCCAGGCTGGTCTCAAACACCTGACCTTGTGATCTGCCCACCTCGGCCTCCCAAAGTGCTGGGATTACAGGTGTGAGGCAGCACGCCTGGTGGATATGCCGAATTTGTAACAAAATTCCTACAAATCAAGAATACAAGATAAAGAGCAGAAAAAGTGGGTAAAGTGGTGATAGAGCAAGAACCTGTCTCAAGACAAAACAACAAAAAACAAAACAAAGCAAAAAAAAAACCAAAAAACATAGCAAGATGCTATCTTTACAAAAATTAAAACTTTTTTTTTTTTTTTTTTTTTGAGATGGAGTCTTGCTCAGTCACCCAAGCTGGAGTGCAGTGGCCGGATCTCAGTTCACTGCAAGCTCCCCCTCCCGGGTTTATGCCATTCTCCTGCCTCAGCCTCCCAAGTAGCTGGGACTACAGGCACCCGCCACCTCGCCCGGCTAGTTTTTTGTGTTTTTTAGTAGAGACGGGGTTTCACCTTGTTAGCCAGGATGATCTCTATCTCCTGACCTCGTGATCTGCCCGTCTCGGCCTCCCAAAGTGCTGGGATTGCAGGCTTGAGCCACCGTGCCCGGCCTTTTTTTTTTTTTTTTTTTTTGAGACAGAGTTTCACTCATTGCCCAGACTGGAGTGTAATGGCATGATCTCGGCTCACCGAAACCTCTGCCTCCCAGATTCAAGCAATTCTCCTGCCTCAGCCTCCCAAGTAGCTGGGATTACAGGTATGTGCCACCATGCCCAGCTAATTTTGTATTTTTAGTAGGGACAGGGTTTCACTATGTTGGCCAGGCTGGTTTCAAACTCCTGACCTCAGGTGATCCACCCACCTCAGCCTCCCAAAGTACTGGGATTACAGGCATGAGCCACTGCACCTGGCCAAAACATTTTTTAAAAAAGAAAACAGTGGAGAAATTGTAGTTTCAGAAAGGGTGAGAGCTGACCTTTTTCTTCCTACATGTAGCCAGATTCCTCTGGGAGTGGCACCCTCTCTGTATCAGAGCAAGGAAATGGCCCTCATCACTGGAAACTTGGAATTGAAGGCTGCAGTGGGCCTGAATAAACATACCTAGTGAAGTTATCCTTAGCTTTTACCTGTATGTACACCCCTCCGTGTATTTCCTAAGGACACCCCTAGAAAATTTTACTGCCCTAGGCAGATTTTATTTTCTCTCAGGTCTGGGAAACACTCTTGTTAAATAGTTTCAAGCTCTCTGGGATTGGCAGATACTCAGACATATTTCTCTCTTGGAGCACAGCTCTGGGTAATTTCTTCTCAAGTTTATTGCTCTTTATCTAAAAAGTATGGAAATATCTTGCTTTGGCCATTTCTTCAGACTTCACTCATAAAGATCCCCATGTACATGTAAAACTAATACAATTTGTATGCTTTTATTCATCTGCTTGGTGTCAATTTGGTTTCCAGATCCAGCCGAAGAACCCACTAGGAGCTAGAAGGAGGATTGGATGTGATCTATGGCTCCCCTAATCATTGGAAAGACTCAGTGAAGACTGAAGACTGAGTTGCTACAAAAAAAAAAAAAAAAAAAAAAGAGCAGAAATGACTATTGAAATAAATGTAAGCAAAACAACTAAAGAGTTGGGTAAATAATTTTAAGTAATTTAAAGTCCTACACATAGATATCTTCCCAGGTGTGTTTAAGTCCTTGCACATTAAAGAAACCCAGACTGAAGAATCATAAAAATTCATATTGTGAGTGGTTTGTTCAAGAACGGTAGCACAGAGTTCCGATCAGTGGACCATTGGACAAAGAAAAACAAGCTTGCCTCACATTCAAAGGCCTGTGAATGGAATATATATAAATGGGTTTGAACTTAAAATATTTAAAATAAATACAGATCACATTTTATGATTCCCTGCTTTAATGGAATGGTTCCATTTCTGGACTGATCACGTTGGATAAAAGACGTTTGTGATAGTCATTCCAAGGTCTCTTAACACAGATTAAAGGCCCCCATGTTATTCATTGACCTCGGTGCTGATGGTTCTCTGGAGGACTGAGTGAACCAAAAGAGGTGGGGTGCAAACATCCTAGGTAGAGGAAAAAAAGGGAGCAAATTCAACAAAACACGGACATGGAATAGAGCATCAATTTCTTCTACTGGAGGGTATAGCAGGAAGGGAGCGGGAAAGTTGAGAAAACAAGTTACGGTAAAATTTAAAAAGAGGCAGTTGAATTTAATTTAGTCTCCATTTTCACATACTGGTTCTCTAAGGTTTGTTAAATAGTTTCAAGCTTTCTGGGATTGGCAGATATTCAAAGCTAACTACTTCTCTCTTAGGACACGTTTACAGATTCTGCAGAAGCCCCAGTAGGAAGATTCTGTTGTACCTTATGTAATTCAGGTGATACCATTTCCCTTTCATTGGCTACTCTCATCTCAGCCTCTGTTTTTTGGTGGTCCAGTCTACACTGGGTCTTTCTTTTAGGAGTTCCATGGCTCTTCCAGGCACTCCTCTTAGGCAAGATTTTAAAGGGTTTAAGCCAGCTCTCCTTCTAAAGAAACCTTCCACCCTGACAAACTCTTGGAGTGCAGGCCACTTGATATAATCATGTATTTGACCTTCACCCCTGTAGCTGGAACAGCTAGCTCGTCCACCATTGCCTTTCACATGTCCTAGGCAAGAGTTAGATATTGGTCCACTGCATCCCATTACCTGCAGGAGTTATATATCAAGGTCTCCAGGTGGTCCCATTGAAATGGCTCCCCCTTGGTATGAGAATAAGAAAGTATCACCCAACCCTGCTTATTGGGAGAAAGGGAGGAGAGACCCTCACAAGCATATTTCTCTCCAGAAAAGTCGTCTTCAAAGAAGCCCCATAGCAACATCTCTTTACCTCCTTGGGGATGAGAGGCTTGAGAACTGTGCAACGTGGTTTTTGATTATCTACTTTGAAACTCCCACAGAAGGGATGCTGATAACTTTGCCATCTGGTATCTACTGCCTTAGGGTTTCTGGTGGAAACTTCCTATTTTAAATCTATTACCCTTACATTTGTGGACTAAACCATACTTGGATGTGATGTATTATTCTTTTACTATCCTAATGGATTAAATTTACTAGCGTTTTATTTAAGATTTTGGAATCTATGTTTATAAATGAAATTGACCTATACATGTGCTTTTTTTGTACAGACCTTGTGTCATGTAGCAGGATAGAAATTTGCATACTGTGACTCAGATGTAGGAAAGAATGTAACATTTGTTACTTTCTGTAATGAATCCTATTTTAGACTTAAGCCTCAATTTCTGCTAATAGCAGGGGGAAATTTTTAAGTTGTGTTTATGTCTCTGTGAGTTTAAATAGAATTTAATTCATTCAAAATTCATACTCCCGGCTGAGTGCGGTGGCTCACACCTGTAATCCCAGCACTTTGGGAGGCCAAAGTAGGTGGATCATTTGAGGTCAGGAGTTCGAGACCAGCCTGGCCAACATGGTGAAACCCTGTCTCTACTAAAAATACAAAATAAATTAGCTGGGCGGTAGTGGCACATCCCTGTAATCCCAGCTACTCAGGAGGCTAAGGCAAGAGAATCGCTTGAGCCTGGGAAGTGGAGGTTACAGTGAGCTGAGATCACGCCACTCCAGTCTGGGCGACAGAATGAGACCCTGTATCAAAAAAAAAAAAAAAAAAAAAAAAAATTCACACTCCCTGCTGGCTGTTTTCTCCCCTCATAAAAGCAGGAGGAGAATACCACACTGTCCTGTGGCCTTCCCTGAGGTGTCCCTTGTCCCATTGTTGAAGCTGAAGGAGGGAAGCCTGGCTGTACCTTATCTTTTGGGGCATCATTTTGCTGCCTATTACTGAGATTCTTCATTCCTGCATTCTGTGCTCTGCTTATGCAACCCAAGGCGTCCTGCAGCCAAGTGGTTCTCCTCAGCACCATCTGTCCCCTGAGGAATCCAAGGAACTCTTGACTGCTTTCTCCTTGACATGATGTGCTGGTGGGATCCTGGGAGGCTGCTCTCAGACTTCTTCCTCATCCCTTGCTACCTGACTCATACTGAACATGGTACCAACCCCAACACAGGGTTGTTCCAAGGAAACTGCATCGTCTGAAACAAAATCCGGAGAGTGGGCATGAGTCATGGTTTGGAATTTCACCAAATCTGTTTCCCCAAATCACTTGTTTCTGGTCTCCCACTCCTTTATCTCACACATACTCTGCTTTTCCCAAGTATCAGAAGAACTTCCTGCTTTCCCTTCCTGTCTCTCAGGAATTCCTCTACCAAATACCCTTTTCCTTCCTCCATGGCATTAGTCCTCCCCTACTTTGAGTCAATAACAGTGCAGGCAAGCAAACGGCAGGGAAATAATCCAAATTATTAAGAGAAAATGCAGCCAGGCATGGTGGCTCACACCTGTAATCCCAGCACTTTGGGAGGCCAAGGTGGGTGGATCTCTTGAGTTCAGGAGTTTGAGACCAGCCTGAGCAACATGACGAAACCCTGTCTCTACTAAAAATACAAAAAGTTAGCCAGGTGTGGTGCCACGCACCTGTAGTCCCAGCTACTTGGGAGGCTGAGGTGGAAGAATCACCTGAGCCCAGGAAGTTGAGGCTGCTGTGAGCAATGATAGCACCACTGGGTGACAGGAGTGAGACTGACTCCAAAAACAGAGACAGAGAAAGAGAGAGAAAGAGAGAGAGAAATGCATTAGGGTATTTTCTGCAAACACTTCAACTACTTGCTTACATTTAAGTCCAAGATATTTAGTGGGTTTTTTTGTTTTTTTGGGGGGGACGGAGTCTCGCTCTGTCGCCCAGGCTGTAGTGCAGCGGCCGGATCTCTGCTCACTGCAAGCTCCGCCTCCCGGGTTTACGCCATTCTCCTGCCTCAGCCTCCCGGGTAGCTGGGACTACAGGCGCCTGCCACCTCGCCCGGCTAATTTTTTGTATTTTTTAGTAGAGACGGGGTTTCACCGTGTTAGCCAGGATGGTCTCGATCTCCTGACCTCATGATCCGCCCGTCTCGGCCTCCCAAAGTGCTGGGATTACAGGCTTGAGCCACGGCGCCCAGCAGTATTTATTGTTCTTATGCTTTTGCTGCTAAATCAAGCATCGACTCACACATATTTCTCTATTATACTGGTGGGGTAGCATGCTGCCTATTTCCTCCAAGTGGTTTAGTCAGCTTTTTGAAACCCATGCTAATTACTATTACATACAATAGCCGTGGCCCAGATGTCTTCCTTCCCCTCCCTCCCTCCCTCCCTCCCTCCCTCCCTTCCTTCCTTCCTTCCTTCCTTCCTTTCGGCAGATCACACTTGTTGCCCATGCTGGAATGCAATGGCATGATCTCAGCTCACTGCAACCTCCGCCTCCCAGGTTCAAGCGATTCTCCTGCTCCAGCCTCCCAAGTAGCTTACAGGTATGCGCCCCGATGCCCAGCTAATTTTTTGTGTTTAGCAGAGACGGGGTTTCACCATGTTAGTCAGGCTGGTTTCAAACTCCTGACCTCAGGTGATCCACCCACCTCAGCCTCCCAAAATGCTGGGATTACAGGCATGCACCACCACACCCGGCCTCTTATTTCTATCTAACTCTTGCAACAACCCATTGGAATACATAATTCCATTGCCATTTTAAAGAAAAATTAACCGAGGCACAGAAAGTGGCTGTATTCATATATTATATAGGCTGGGCTATAACAAAGGGGTACCAAAATATAGTGACTTAAACAAGGTGGAGGTTTATTTTTCTCTCACAAAATATAGCAGGGGCAGGCAGAAATCTAGATTGGCAGGTTGCACAGTTATCCAGGGACACAGCACCTTCTCTCTGGTTACTCCACCACCATCTAAAGTATGGTCTTCATACAGAAAAAGCTAACTCATCACCACACATCCATGCCTCAGCCTGTGGGGAGAAAGGAAAGAGGATGAAAGACAGGCAGTTTTATTTTTTAAAAAATTGCACACAAAAGCTTCAGCTCACACCCTATTGTTCAGAAGGAATGGTTACATGGCCACAGCTAACTTCAAGGGAGGTTGAATAACATAGCCTCTATCTCAATGGTCATGTGTCAATGTCAAGGTTAAGATTAGTGGCAGATAGGTGTGGCAAAGGTTCTATTACTAAAAGCAAAAGGAAATCATGGATACTAAGGATCATTTAGGCATCTCTGCCACAGAATCCAACATGATCCTCTCCTTCTGAATCCTGAGCAATGTGCACAGATGAAAACCTACATTTCCCTTTCCCTTGCAGATAAAAGTGGCCAACTAGATGTAAGCAGAAGTCACTGGGTAGGCTTCCTGGAAAGCTGTCATTATTGCCTTTCTTCCCTTCATCCTTTCTGTTGCTTGGAAGGTAGATGAGGTGGCTAGAGCTTCAAAAGCCATATTGGACCAAAAGTAACCTAGAACATGAAGGCATGTACCAAAGATGGCAGAGCACATGGAAAGGGGAGAACCCGGATGCTTAATGACCAAGGAGCAGCCACAGCAACCCCAAACTGCCTAACTCTGCTCTTCTTTATTCTGAGGAAGAAATATGCCTCTTTTGTATTTAAGTTGCTTTAATTAGTGTC